GGAGGAAAGGATCTACCGTGTGAGATTTCGGACATGATGGCGGATGCAAATTTGAAAGATCAGGTTAGCGCCGGGAAGCATCGTAAGGCAAAACCGCACGATAGTTCAAGAAAAGGTATGCGGAGAAAACGATTCACCGTGTTAGTTTAATGTTAAGATGGCGGACGCGGGTGTAAGAATAAAACGCAGTGTCAGGAAGCACATATAGAAAAACCACACAGTGGTAGGACAGAGGGAAGGTAAATACGTAAATCTACCGTGTGGAATAACTAAATTCAAAGCGAACGAAAAGATACACCAAAATTACAGCAGGTGAAGCGTGAATACCTATATGTAAATAATGTAAATAAAAATATGATGTATGTATGAAGAGAAAGATGTAATTAAATAAGGCAAAGAGAGTGTGAGTGTAAAGGCGAAGCGACGCCAGAACACGACAGCGCAAGCGCAACGCGAAAAGTGGGGCGCGTAGATAGTATAAAGGAGAGCGACAGCTCGGAGCATTTTTGCATGTTGCCTTTGGCTGTTTAGTCTCGGTTTGATCGTAGTGAATAGTGAATAGTCGCACAGTAATTGCACAGATAGTGATATAGAGTACTTGAAAAACCCTGAGACAGGGCGAGAGAAGTATTACGTGTAGGAAGTTTCGAATTTTCGCCGACAACGAAGTTCGAACGGAAATCAGAGGACATTGTCCGACTATCCCCGTAACAAAATCGAACGTTAGATATTGAAAGAGGATATACAATTGCGAGCGGAAACGCAAATAAACTGTTAGAGCGATTGTAACGGCGGTCATAAACGCGAGATCCGATTCCGAAGTGAGGAATAAAACTGTGTATACGAGGGTGGTTTGAAAAGTTCATGCAAAATCAGAGAGATGGCATCATTGGTCCGTATTAAGGTTATTTTCAGTTAGTAGCATCTTTTGGAAGAACATACACTAAGTTTCAGTCAGATCGGTCTATTTCTTTGTATTTGGCGTTCGTTTGCATCGAGGAAGTCGAGTGATTTCCAAAAAATGGATGAAAGAGAAATTCGTGTGTTGATCAAACATTACTTTATGAAAGACAAATAGCCTCAGGAGACTAAAGAGAAGCTTGATAAACATTATAGTGAATTTGCACCTTCGATTAGAACAGTTTATAAATGGTTTCAAACATTTCGGAGTGGCCACATGAGCACAAATGACGCTGAACGTTCTGGACGTCCTGTTGAAGCCACTACGCCAGAAATCGTTGAAGAAATCCATGATATGGTGTTGGATCATAGAAGAATAAAGGTGCGTGAGATTGCTAGTGCTGTGGGCATCTCGACTGAACGAGTACATAATATTTTGCATCAACATTTAGGCATGAAAAAGTTATCCGTAAGATGGGTGCCGTTACTCACAGTTGACCAAAAACGAAATCGTGTGAGGTGTTCCAAGGACTGTTTGCAGCTGTATCAGCGGAATCCATAGGACTTTAAGCGTCGTTTCGTCACTGTGGACGAAACATGGATACATTACTACACGCCTGAGACCAAAATACAGTCCAAAAAATGGGTTACTGGCGGAGAATCTGCACCAAAGAAGGCGAAGACCGTTCCTTCAGCTGGGAAGGTTATAGCGACCGTCTTTTGGGATTCGCAAGGAATAATTCTCGTCGACTATATGGAAAAGGGTAGAACTATTACAGGTACATATTATTCATCGTTATTGGACCGTTTGAAAATCGAGCTGCAAGAAAAATGTCCACGATTGGCCCACAAGGAAGTCCTTTTTCATCACAATGCACCAGCTCACTCCTCTGCAGTCATGGCCGCAAAATTGATGGAATTAAGGTTCCAACTCGTTCCGCATCCCCCCTATTCTCCAGATTTGGCTCCCTCGGACTATTACTTGTTCCCCAATTTGAAGAAATGGCTAGCGGGAAAGAGATTTTATTCAAACCAGGAGGTGATTGCGGAAACGAATGCCTATTTTGCACAGTTGAACCAATCCTACTATTCGGAAGGGATTAACAAATTGGAGCAGCGTTGGACGAAGTGTATAAGCCTAAAAGGAGATTACATTGAAAAATAAAAAAGTTTTATCCCGAAAAATTAAGTAGTTTTCATTTTTGCACGGACTTTTCAAACCACCCTCGTATATATGTATATAGTGAACTCTATCTATTGTAAATAAGTGTACATAGCGTGTTATAATAAATGTGATTGGTCAATTGTTATATAAAAAAGGGATCTGTGTTGTCAACAATTACATCTTCTAAAGCGCTAGATACTAAGTTATAAGCGATAGAATAGACGACGAATACAAGTGGAGCAAAAGATCAGTTCAATAGAACATTATCCTTTTTTCTTGGGGGTAAAAGAAAGTGGCGACCGTGTATAACGTATTTAAGACCGAGTGGAAAGCATTATATCAGAATTCGGTCACAACTTAACTAATTACACACATGTGATCCGTTGTGTGTAGTTCGCACAAGATTATAGTAATCATACGGATTACAATATCTGGCCAGTCTTTCTTTTCCGCAAGGAATATTTGACTTTTCAAAACAAGCAACTTTTCTTTTTATGTTTTATCGTATTATTAAGAATATCAGAGATATTTTAAATGTCGAGTTAGAGAAAGTGTATACCCCCCTCTCTCCCCCCTTCCCCCATCTCTCTCTCTCTCTCTCTCTCTCTCTCTCTCTATATAATTATTTCAATCTATAATTAAGACTCCTGAGTAGTTATCGCAGCGTATAAGACCGTGATGTTATAAGAGATAAATGGTACATTAAAATTTTTTACATGCCATTTATAAATAAAGAGATTTGGATAAAACAAAATCACGAAATTGCTTTCACATATTTATAAAAATGAATCGATGCTATCCTTACTTCCTCCCCGATCTTTAACAAATAGTCGTAAAAGGCACGTGAAGTAAAAATATACTATCGTATGCACATTGAATAACGTTGGTAAAAATGTACTTTACATGCCTTTAACACCTATTTACTGACTTCGAGGGGAGGGAGATAAGGATAACTTCGACACATTTTTGTACGTTTTTTAGAGTAGCCACATTATATTTTATTTTACTCAAATTCTCATTATTTACAAATGCAAGAAACTATAACGTGTCATTTCTCGCTTATGATCCAATATGGCCGCGATAATTACTCAGAAGCCTTATGGGCCTTCTACAATAAGCCGCAAGTCAGAACGTCAGAAGTCTTAACCAGTCTTAACCAAGTCGTTCAAGTTGGTTATTGGCCAACATCACTGATTATGACTTAAGATCGCTTAGAACTTCTGACTTGCGGCTTATTGTAGAAGGCCCATAAGACTTCCGATGACAATTAGTGACCATGACATGTATAATAATATACAGGATGGTCCCTCTAGTAAGAGTCAAGTCATGATGAGGGCACCGACCTCCTGATTGATCAGATTTCGAGTCCCTTTAAACGCCGCCATTTGTGGATACTTTCGATGTGGTAGTGAATCTGTGAATTGATGTGAGCAACTGTTTCATGATGTAGGAGGTGCGAACCCGAAATTAGACTATCAATTGTCAACCATAGTGGAATTGTGCTGTTTTCGGCCGGTACCCGACACTCAGCAATGGCGTCTTTCCGCTCTTATGTCTTAACTTTTACTAGAAGACCTCTAAGGGGCATTTTAATTGCTCCAGGCGGATATCTTAGAAACTAATAGAGGTATAGGAAAATTTTAAATAAAAGTCGTAGGTTTTCTTGGGGGAAAGGAGGTGGAAATAATAGATTTTGTATATGAAGTAAGGTCTAATCAAGGTTAACATGAATTTTTTAAATAAGAACTGTTTTTTATTATATATTCTTGTAGCTGAAGACAAGGCGTTTTCAAAACGCTGTGATAAATTATTTCTTCATTAAGCACTTTTCGAGTTATAAAACTTGATGGTTATTATACTGCTGATATTAGCATTACCCATGGAGTATCACGTGGAGGTTACTTAATCGGATTTAATCTGTGTGTGTGTGTGTGTGTGTGTGCGCCTACGTGTGCACGTGCATGTATAGAGGGAAAGGAAGGGAAGTAAAATTTAAACGTATCTTGTTCTTGTTTCTATTCATTGTCTGAACTGATTATGTTTGATGATCAATCAGCGCCAGGTCGACTGACATGCATTTTCTCGTACTTAGTATTACCCAGGATGAACCATGTAAATATAACAGGAATTTCAACCCTTTGGGATGCTTGATTTACGTGAGTCCCTTTGCCTCTCAATAAAGTATCCCAAACAGTCGATCGAAAAGTAACTTTTCCCCTCCCCCACACATGCACGTACGCACATACAATAGATTAAATCCGATTGAGTAACCTCCACGTGATACATCTTGGGTAACGCTAATGTTAGCAGTAACTGTCAAATTTTATAACTCGAAAAGTACTTAATGAAAAAATACTTTATTATAGTGTTTTGAAAACGTTTCGATTTCAGCTACAAGAATATGCAACAAAAAATAGTAGTTTTTATTTAAAAAATTCATGTTGATCTTAACCTGATTTTGGTGATGCTCCATACACAAAATCTATTAATTCCACCTTCTTTGCCCCAAGAAAACCTACAACTTTTATATAAAACTTTTTCCTGTATCTCTCTTAGTTTATGAGATATCTGCCTGGGGCGATTAAAATGCCCCACCTTGTATAATTTGTTATGTAAGTCCTCTTTTCGTCTGGTTATTATTCCCATATAGCATGAATGAAACACACATTGAACGTAGTGCACTTATTTATAGATTTTACATTGCTTTCATCTGCTTGTACTGTGTTATTTGTTGGAATTTTACACTATGACAAATGTAAAATTCAAAGAAAAAGAATTGAGATAATTTAATTCAAAGAACTAGTCCTTATTCCGACAACTTTAAAAAACGGTAATACTCTCTATGTGACCTTAATAAAGAAACAAATATGTTTATACAATTTGCACGCTTTGCCTGTCAGTAAGGAGTATATGAGAATATAAAAAAATTGGTTGTTGTTTAACTGCCTATAAGTGTAATGAAAATAAATGCACTTATTTAACTTACTTAAGTCGTAATGTACTCCTTACAAACAAAGACCTTTGGCCAGAGAAATAAGTTTTTGGATAAGGCTTTTCAATATACATTCTAAGATTTTTTTCTAAAAAAAGAAACAATTTTATCTTTATTTCATCATTATCTTTTTCTATTCCTTCTCTTGCCTTTTTGTTCTCTTGTCAACATGTACACACATATAGAACACATCTGTATACACATTTCAAACTATCCTCTAATGCTGATCTCTGTATCTCTGTTGCTGCATGAATAGTCTTGACACTTTAAAAAGTTCACTAGTTTATGTGTATATACATTCATTTAAATATCTTACTTTACAGATAACAACGAGCCATTTAAGGTGTGAGGCCATTGAGTAATTGTAGTTCATCTCTTGTAGAACTTTTATTTAACTGTAGAATAGTTTTGTTGAGAATTTTGATTTGAAGACACCCACGTATTGAATACATCTCTGAAACACAATAAAACAGATATAAATACAGAATAAAGAGAAATTATAGAACAGGTATACAAGAATAATCTCTGCGAATTAAAAATATATGGCAATGTACACTGTGAACATACTATGATCAGAGACATGTAATAAAATGCAACATATACCGATTGTTTATTTAATAATATTATAGTATTTATTTACATAAAATGAACAAATTAATCTAACAAGGGAAGTTTACAACTGTTCGGTTTGATTCTCATCAGACAACCGATTTGATTCTCCATGAAATATGTTGTAAAACACGAAAATCTAAGAGATATGTATTTTTTTATACGTGCACTAACTCATGTTTAAGGGGTAAAACATACCTTAAAAAAAAACCGGTATTTTTCTTTCGAGGCAAATATCGTCGGAAGTATAAAAGATAGAAAAAAATTTTTTAAACAAAAATTGTACGGTTTCAAAAGTACTTTGAAGGTATAAAGAAAAAAAAAATATTTTTTTTGTTTAACAAAATAACCCCACCACCCATAATTTTATTAAATTTTCAATTTTTTTTATCAAATTAAAGATTTTTTTTTTATAAATTCAACCATGTGTAATAAAGTTATTACGACATAACAATTTTCGAGAATTAATTATTAACGCTTCCGTATATACGCTATCCATGCGTATATACGGAAGCGTTAATAATTAATTCTCGAAAATTAGGATACCGTGAGGTTAATCCAGATGAGCACCCAGCTCTATTTCTGTAAAAAGATTTTTCAAGAGATATCATTTCTTTACTATTAATAATTATTGTTATTGACAATCTTGTGTTTCGCGGGTTTTCTCCGTGTTCAAATCCATTCTTGGAATGCCAACGTTTCGTGAACCTTGCAGTCCACTTCATCAGGGCGAGGAGCAGCCTGATACTAAGCTGTTCTCCCGGGTCGTTCCCTT